ATATATTTATCGATCAGTATCTCATTTTTCAATGCACAGAAAGTGTGTCTGCAGGTCATATGCGATGAATGACAGTAACATACAAAAGAGTTTGCGTAGCATAGCAACAGAGTCCGCGCAGCATAGCAACGCACAGCAACATACTAAAAATTATGTGGAAGCAACATACCTCACATAGTTCGCACAGATCGAAGTCGGCACAATTGGCGCATTTGTATCGCACTCCTCTGATGACACCCACGTGACACGAGTTACAGGTCAGGCCGCGATGGACATAGCCCTCTGCAGGTGATAAGATAACATAGGTATGTATTTGAATAATATTATACTAATACCAAGATAACACAGGTATATATTTGAATAATATTATACTGATACCCATTGACTGTCGGTGCATATGTCAAGTTTCTGATACTTCCATGTCGCAAAATAGCACAAACATAGTAAATGATATATATTCCTTATAAGGATTAGGTGTGGAATTTCAGATACTTTCATGTCTCAAAATCACACAAACATAGTATATGTGTGTGAAGTTTCAGTACTTTCATACCTCAAAATAACACATTCTAGTTCAACCACATATCGTAACAACAGGTGTGAAGTATCGGATAGATTCCCAGCTCACAATCACACAAACACACACAAACAGGCTATATTACACATCCGTATCCTCGATAGACGGATGAATCCTCTGGAAGGTATACCAGCATACTCCTTATCTATCGACAAGATGTAATATGCATCATTCCACCCGCCCCTCCATCCCTCCCCCTCTTCGCAACTTTGTCTGGCCTAGTCTATTGATAAAATTTACAACTAAACTAATCTAATTATAATCAGACACAAGCTTAGTCTATCGATATTACTAAACTGTTCGGTACCTTTTCTGACCTAGTCTATATATAGGACTTCCAATTGCACACATCTAGTACTAGTCGGACACAAGCTTCTGAAATGTTCGGTACCTTGTCTGGCCCAGTCTATCGATAGGACTTCCAATTAAACTCATCTAGTACTAATCGGACACAGGCTTCTGAAATGTTAAATACCTTGTCTGGCTTAGTCTATCGATAGTACTTCCAATTAAACTAATCTAATTCTAATCAGACACTTCTGAAATGCCAGGTATCTTGTCTGTCCTAGTCTATCGATAAGACATGTTCGATACCTTGTCTGGCTTGGTCCTCGGCTATCGTATACAGCAGATTCAACAGATTCTGACTCTCCTTATTGTTGATGTCCACTTCTCCAAGAGGTGTCTGGGAAGAGTAGGACAATGCTGGGCCCCGTTCACCCAACAACGGCGGAGGCGATGTGTCTGAAGAAGTTGGGTAATGCACCCCCAAGCATTTAAAGAAGAGTCAATCACAATGCGTGAGTGGGAAGTGGTTGCTATAAGATGTAATGATGTGGTGATGATAATGGTGAAATAAATGAAGGTAGAAAATACTTGCAAATTATCGCCCGAGACAGAGATACATACTTTTATTAAAAAATCATCAGCATAATGGATATATAATTTCATACGTATATTTGAGAATAAACTACCACCTATATCAATCTATGATAATAAAATAATAAAATATATAATAACAGTAATATAATATATATATATATATATATATATATATATATAACAATTAATGTGTGTATATATGTATGTATGAATATATATCCTTATGTATGTATGTATGTATGTATACATA